TCTCTCTCTCTCTCTCTCTCTCTCTCTCTCTCTCTATCTATCTATCTATCTATCGGTGTCGAGCAGGCATTTAAGCAGCATAACGGCAACAGCAACAACTGTTGCCGTTTCATATAAATGGCAGCATTTATCTGAAACGGCAACAGTTTTGCCGTGGCCTGGGCCTGGACCCACCGCCCTCCCCACACTGCCCACTGCCCACACTGTGCCCCTCACTTGGTGGCACCGAAACAGGGCCAAAATGGTCCACCGGGCCTTTTTTTTTCTTTTTTTTTTTTTCTGCGCCGCGCCGAAGGTCGTACACCCAGAAAAAAAATATGGCTGTGAAGGGGTTTTCCAGCCCTACACGCCTATATATATATATATATCGTCATATATATATATATATATATATATATATATATATATATATATATATCGTATATATATATACAGCCCCTCGTTTGTTGTCCTCTTCTCTCTCTCTGCCTACGGTTTAACGGGCAGTTCTGTTTGTGACGATATATATATCGTCACAAACATATATATATCGTCAAATAGAACGGTTTACCGGGCAGTTCTATTTGACGATATATATATATATATTTTTGCATGTCAAAAATGGAAAAAAAAATAATGTACCGAACTCGGCAAGTCGGCCTAGGCCAAACCGGGCCGATTCGGTCATCGGCCTAGGCCGCAGCCGACTCGGAGCCCCCGGCCGCGGCCGGGCGTGAAACGTAGCCATCTATCAGAATAGGCCTTTAGGGCCTGTCTGTCCTAGGGGTAGCCCGGGCCTGCTATCTGCAGTTAGGGTAGCTGTAAGGAATCCGGTTAGTACCGGGCCTGTATTTTCCCGAATTTGCAGATATGTCCCTCACGAATTTCCCTCACAGGTAGGTCTCTTGGTTAGCCCTCAGCCAAACAAAATTGCGAATCTATCCTACCTATAGTACAGCCTCGACAGAGAAAGGCTACAGGCGACCAGAAAACAGGAAGTCGTTGCAAATGGCTGGACGCTGCCTCTTGACTTATACTTCTGTAAGTCGCTGGTCTGCTCTTTTCCACCGACCCCATGGTGCACACAGTCCCTCATGGTACTTGCTGACTGTACAAAGTGAGACTTGGACTGGGTACTGCTGACTAAGCGAAGTTGGACTCACCACTTGCCCACTTGCCTCTGGTCTGCTGTGAATAACGTGAGAAAAGCTTGAAAGACCACTACCGGACCTTCCGGAAGTCTGTGGACTTGGCCTTTCGAGACTCTAGCAGCTACGACCTTGACCTTTCAAGACTGTAGCAGCTATGGCCTTGACCTTTCAGAATTGCTACAGCTACGGCCTCTACACAAATATGACCCCTAGTCGACAGATCTAGAGATCGAGCCCCTACAGCTACACAGACCTACGACAAGCAACAGTCAACTACTAAAACACAGGTCACGGGTTCAAACACACAGATCTACAGATCGAACCCCTACAGCTACACAGACCTACGACAAGCAACAGTCAACTACTAAAACACAGGTCACGGGTTCAAACACACAGGGGTCAACTCGATACCGTACACGGGTGTGGCAAGGTCTAGGGATCGAGCCCTGGGATCTGCATCTGCTACTGTTAAGCTGAAAACCGTTTCAGTTCTCTCTCTCTCTCTCTCTCTCTTTCTCTCTCTCTCTCTCTCTCTCTCTCTCTCTCTCTCTCT